AATCCCACCTGTACTTTGGGCCTGGGCCAAGTTAGAACCATTTGTGCAAAAGTAAGTGAAGCCCATAACAAAACCAGGCCCAATCTGTCCCTTACAAAATCCAAATTAGCACTACCTATATATATTTTAAAATTTTGTTACATACTAATATCTTATACGTCTACAATTAATAATTTTAAAAAAATTATAGGATTATATTTCACTATATATATAAAGATTAATAACTATATGTATTGGCTTAATATAAAATTTAATTCAATGTTGAGTTTGGTATGTAATTAGAAGGATAAAATACAAGAAAATTTCACTTATCTTTAAAATGTTAAAATCATGTAATTAATACCGCTACTTCTGAAATTAACAAGAAAATAAAAGTAGGGAAAAGGTGATATATTTCTAAGAATTGAGATGCATGCTTTTCTTATAAAAATTACATCATATGATATAGTTTACTATAAAAATTATAATGCACAACCCAAGAGCAAAAAAAAAAAACACAAAAAACAAAAAGGGAAAAAGAAACCAAACATTCTCTTCTTCTGAGAATGTGAATCAAAAATTAACAAGAACATGATGATAATTTCTTCATCTCACTTATTTCTAAATCAGAACCAGCAATCAGCTCAATCTTTGATCCTTTTAACGCAGTGGCATGATCACCACCATTGGATTTCCCATTTCCACGTTCCAAAGATTTTTTACAAATCACACCATAAATTTCTTCCAGCAGCTTGAAAAATGCTTTTTCCACGTTGTCACCGGTGAGCGCGGACGTCTCGGCGAAAAACAGGCCCTGATCCTCTGCGAACTCGACAGCGTCTTCGGTTGGAACCGCCCTGAGATCCACTAGATCAGCTTTGTTTCCAATCAGGATGATAACGATGGAATTGTCGGCGTGGGCGCGTAGCTCCTCGACCCATCTCGCCACGTGATCAAAGCTCTGTCGCTTGGTGATGTCATACACTAGCATTGCCCCTAACGCACCTCTATAATATGCGCTTGTAACTGCTCTGTACCTACAGACATCAAATTGCCCAAATTATAAAAACATTGAGTCATTGTGCTATTTTGTGATGGTTTTCCCTGCTACTCATAAATATAGTAATATGAGCATAGTTTGCAATAATTTTATCTATATTTATGTTCGATTTTGCTAATGTTTTTAAAAGATATTCTTAATATTAATTAAGTTCTATTTATAATAATATTTTTGTATTAAAATATAACAGTTAATAATTAATATGATAACTTTCATATATTGAGAAAAGATAAGACAATTGATTAAACAATTAATCCTTTTAACCTTTCTCTTTTTACTTTTAATTTAAAAAAAAAAAGGGAGAGAGAAAATTCTTGATTAATTGAGGAAAGAATTATTATAGAGGATTCCAGCAAGTTTTGGATTCTGAAATTAAAGATTTGTTGAATACCTTACAACTTTTTCTTTTATCTTGGTCAAAAGTGGGGATTAAGCAGTCCAAAATTCCTATTGGTATGGCCAAATTGTGGGGCCAAAGCACCGAAATCATGTAAATCCAAACATAGAAAAGACTCGAGTGAATTTAATCCATTTTATTAATCATTTTAGATTAAATGGTTTTATAGTAAAGATTAAACTCAAAAATAGGATAAGATTAGGTCAAAGTCAAGTGTAACAGTAATCGTTAAATTAATGAGAAAATCTAAGTAAGTAATTCGAAAGCATGACAGAATCTTTCACCTAAAATATAAATAGACTTTAAGTTGCACTCGATGATACGATTACACTTTCAGTCTTTGTCTTCTTCATGACAAAAAATATAAAATGTTTTAACTTGGATATTAACCAAATCTCCACCAAAATTAGAATCCTTTTTGGGTTAAGTTTTGAACTAGAATTTAAATCAAAATACATGAAATGCTGATGGTGTTCTGCTTAACTAGCTGTCAGATTGGGTGAAGCACCATTTATATTCAAAATTCCGATTATGCTGCTGCCATTATATACATTCATGACTAAACTAGTGGGATTTCAGCAATCTAAATTCTGAACCACAATTTGAAGATTTGAGGATTTGAAACACCATGTGACCAAACAATTAGATGGATTAATTTGCATTATCAGCTCAGGATAATGAAGTTAAAGAAATCTCAGTTACAGACTTACGGTCCAGGCAAAGGGAAAAAAAAAAAACCAAGAGTTGAGACAGCATCATTAATCTAAAAACGGGGAGCCTCGAGGGGAAAAGGAAAGAGAAGCTAACCTTTCCTGGCCAGCAGTGTCCCAGATCTGGGCCTTGATGACTTTGTTCTTAATGGTAACAGTCCTGGTCTGGAACTCTACCCCAATGGTGGACTTGGAATCGAAGCAGAACTCATTCTTTGTAAACCTGGAGAGCATCTGAGTCTTGCCAACAGCTGAGTCGCCGATCACCACCACTTTAAACACGTAATCTATTTTCTCTGGAACATTTTCTTGGTGCTTCTCGACGTCAACACCACTCATCTCTTCGTTCATTTTCACTGGCTCAGAAGCAATCAACCGCTAAAGCCAAGAAAAAGAATAGCACCCATGTACGCTTTTCCTTTTTCCTTTTTGCAGTGCTGCAAAAACAAGTACTCCTACTACTTCTAAAATTAAATATGAAGTTTAAATGTTGGTATTGTTTTTGGCCTCTAGTGTTGGGGGTAAGTGGGAGTAAGTAAAGAAAAAGCGAAAATATATAAAAAATGTTAAAGGGAAAAGAAAAGAAGAGATCAGAGCGAACAAGACTGGGGTTCAAGGGTTCTAGTCACCAGTCACTGATGTAAAAGAGAGAGTCATGGCAATTAGTCATGTCCTTGTCTCTCTATTAGTGCTTTATCGTGGGTGTGCCAATGCTGTTTTCATTAATTTATTTAATAGAAAATAATGGAGGCCAAAAGCTAACCACAAAGCAGAAGAAGCAGGGCATAATACTATAAACTTTCTTTTGCTTAATGCCGTGGCGAATTGGGATCTGTCAGACTGAAACCCAGTGCCACATACACAGAACAACAATCTCACAATTCCTGGCATAATCTCCGGACGAAGCTATTCTAACGATAGTTACAAGTGCTTTTGCAAAGGTAATTAAAAAAAGCAAAAGGTGTTGTTTTGTTCCTTAAATCCTTATAATTGAAACTTTGGAAACCTTGGGTTGTCACTTAATTTCCAAGCATCCTTGTCATTTCATCACTATGTTTTACTGATATGATCAAAGCAAATATGCGGTCTGGCTAAAACCTGGCCGAAGTGATCAAGTTGGCATTAAAGGAGAGGGCAGACCCAACCATTTTCTTGACCCCTATTTAATACATTCAGGGTACCGTACACAGACAGGCCTCGGTTTAATTATTTTCTGGCCTTGAATTAAATTGCGTCCTGGAACATCATTTGTTTCTGTTTTTTCCCTTTTCATTAAAATCGTGGTATGGTCGAACATGATTCATCTGATGGTATGGCTATTATACACATTTAATTTTCGGGTGCTGAATTACTGTTCTATGTGCATAATAAAAGCCTGGCAATAGATAACATGTGAGCACAAAAGGGGAGAGGGAAAAAGAGCAGACGAAGCTTCAAAATGATCTGTTGCCTTCACAGGAAATAACGTGGACCTTCAAAATGTTTTGCACCGACAAACTTCGGCTTAGTGGCATTCCCAAGAACACCCCCACGTCGTTGAAGGAATTCCCAATAACAGAAATTCTCCTATGTAATTCTTAAACCGAATTTTCCAACCCCAAACCGCTCATTATATCTTGAAATTGATTTTTCCTACTTTCCCTAATGACTGAACATTGCTTTCTCTTTTTTTTTTGTTTTGTGTTTTGACTTCTTGAAAAGAACTTCTCCCGCACCATAAATTATAAGCACTTTAAAAAAGCAAGCAAATCAGCTGTGATTTCATTCGCTTAGTAACTATTAGAACGACCTTTTTTCATCGTTTAACGTTGGTCATGCTCGCATGTAAACAAGGAAGCTGAGTTAAAAGGCCAAATGTACAGGAAAGCGAAGAAAGCAAGAGGGGGAAAAGCAATAGAAGGGCAAAGATCCTGAGACAATCAATGGATTGGAGGGGCCACCAGTTATGTACTCCGGATATTTTGTTTTCATTGGAATTCCCAAGCAAATCCCAGAGACAAAGTCACTGTACATTTGAACTTTATTAGTCCAAGAAATCTGGGTGTAGATTTGGAGGGGTAGGAGCTGGGTCCAGACTCTCCACAGACCTTAAGCATAGGGCAAAGGGCAGATTAGAGAGCACAGAGTTCGAATCGTATAATGGGCTGGTCCCATGTATCTTTTCCAGAGGTTCTGTGCTCTCTATGAGGTCGAGAAAGGTTTCTCGAAATGGGCCATTGTTGTGAAGTCCAGGACCAGTCTCGTTAACTTCTCTTTGGTGAGCTTTGTTTGGTCCAAAGTTGAAAAAAAAAAAATACATTTAACCACGAAATCCTTGCCTTTGTGGACACCAAATCTTTTTTAATCTAGGAAAGGACCAATAGAGAAATGGAGCATAACAATTCTCTAATAGGAAATACTTACCTCTATAATTAGATTTAATATTGGAATTCACCTAAGTATAAATTAAATGTATAGGTAAGTCATATTTCATGAAATTTAATTATTTTAAAGGATAGGATTCAAACTTATCGTTTTACCTTGTAATTGGGTTAAAAAATAATTCAAAATTAAAGATAAAAGAAATATTCTTTTAAAAAATAAATGAATATTTTTCAAATATTTTAATTTTGATAATTTTTAATTAAATTTAAAATTAAAATAATAAAATTGTGATGAATAACAAATTTGATCCATAATTCAAATTAAAATGATAAATTTAAATCTCATCCCTTATTTTAACTATAAATTATCTCAACCAAAAAAAATATATAAATGCTTTATGACTTTATTATGAATAAATTTACTTTCATTTTTTAATTTCAACCACATAAAAATCTATTACCTTATCCCATTTCTTTCGGCAACAAGAAAATGAAACCACAAGTTTAATTCCCTACGGCCCACAGGCACTCCTCGCGACGTGTCTCTCCATGGATACTTTTTCGAGCTCCGTCTCAACCTTCAAAGTCCCTAACTTTAATTCAACACCTCGCGAGTTCGGTCGCTGGAAAACCCCCAACAGACACGGCCAACTTCCTACAAGGTCTCCACAATGTTCAAGTTTCTTCTCAAGCGCCAGAACCACCACCAAAACCAACTCTTTTACTCACAAAAAACTCACGTCTCCATTCTTCCCCACCTCTCAAGCGTCACCTCTCATTTCATCTCCTTATTATGTCCATTCAAAACAAGCCAGCGGGTACGCCGCAGCTCTTCTGGACATAGCCCAGTGCAACACCTCACTTGATGCAGTGCAAAAAGATGTTCAGAAGTTGTCAAAACTGCTCCACCACGACCATGTCCAAGCTTTCTTGAGTGACCCTTTTGTTGGTGACGAAGAGAAGGGAAAAGCAGTGAAGGAACTGGTTAGAAAAGGGAAGTTCAACAAGCACCTGGTTAGATTGTTAAAGATGCTGACCAAGAGGAAGGAGTTGGGGATGGTAAGTGAAGTGTTGGAGGAGTTCGAGAGGATTTATGATGAGTTAAGCGAGACCAAAGTGGTTTGGATTTCCTCAGAGAAGAAGATAAAGGAAGACAGGTTGTTTAGAATTGCCAAGAGGGTGCAAGAGCTTAGCGGAGCTGTGAAAGTCAAGGTCAGGAATTTGGTTAGAGACAGGATACCAGCCGTTGCTGTATAATTAAGATGCAATAACAATGTAATTAGTGCTGTATCAATTTGAATCATTGAGCAGCGGAATTTCCTTTTAAAAAAGGATATTTGGTTTTATTTTATCCAATATATATAATCCTTTTAAAAAAGCAGGTAATTTATCGATCCTTGCATATATTAAAAAAAGAAATTGATTAAAATCGAAGGTAATAAAATACGAGGGTAGTAACTAGCAAGGGTTAGCAGCGAGTTTGCCAGATTCGACGTCGTTTTGCAAGTTTAAATTAAAGTTGACATTACCGCCGTCCTTCATTCCAAGTTTAACCTGTCTCAGCGTCTTGCGCAAAGCTCCTCTGGGGGCTCTGTTTCTCCCAGCCATGATGGGTCGCTGTCAACTGCACCACCGATTAGGGATCGGACTCCTCCGTCCGGTCGCCACCTTCCGGTCATTTAGCACCGTCGACCTCTCCAATGTAGATCCTTCTTCCCCACTCCTCCAATACTACACCGTCACATCCCCAATCAAACCCTGGCCCCAACGCCTCTACCCAAAACGCGTCGTCTCCATGATCACCTGTCAACAAAACCTCGATCTTGCCCTCCAAATATTCCTCTACGCGGGAAAATTCCACCCAAACTTTTACCACAATTACGACACCTACCATTCCATCATCCACAAACTCTCTCGCGCACGCGCCTTCGAGCCCATGGAATCCCTCCTCTCTCAGCTCCAAGATTCCCAAATCAAATGCGGTGAAAATCTTTTCATCTCGGTAATCCGCAATTACGGCCTCGCTTCCCGCCCAAAGTTAGCACTAAAAACCTTTTTACGGATCGAAAATTTCAACGTCCAACGATCCGTTAGATCCTTAAATACCTTGTTAAACGCTTTGGTTCAAAACAAACGGTACGATTTGGTTCACATTATGTTCAAAAACAGCAAAACAAAATTTAGCGTTGTACCAAATGTTTTTACTTGCAATATTTTGATCAAAGCACTTTGTCAGAAAAACGACGTCGAAGCTGCGTATAAAGTGTTCGATGAAATGCCTTCGATGGGAATGGTACCTAATGTGGTTACTTATACGACAATTCTCGGTGGTTACGTGGCGAGAGGCGATATGAAAAATGCAAAGAGTGTTTTTGGGGAGTTATTGGATAGAGGCTGGGTTCCTGATGCGACGACGTATACGGTTTTAATGGATGGGTATTGTAGATTAGGGAAGTTCAGTGAAGCCGTTAAAGTGATGGATGAAATGGAGGAAAATGGTGTTGTTCCGAATGAGGTTACTTATGGAGTTATGATTGAGGCTTTCTGTAAGGAGAAGAAGTCTGGGGAGGCGCTTAACTTGTTTGACGATATGCTTGAGAGAAAGTATATCCCTTGTTCTTCGCTTTGTTGTAAAGTAATTGATGTCTTGTGTGAAGAAGGCAAAGTGGAGGAAGGTTGTTACTTGTGGAGGAAGATGTTGAAGAATGACTGTTTGCCGGATAATGCAATATTGAGTACGTTGATACATTGGCTCTGTAAGAAAGGGAAGGTTTGGGACGCTAGGAAAATGTTTGATGAGTTCGAGAAGGGTTCCGTTCCAAGTTTGTTGACTTATAATACTTTGATTAACGGAATGTGTGAGAGAGGGGAATTGAATGAGGCAGGGAAGTTGTGGGATGATATGGTGGAGAAAGGGTGTAATCCGAATGTGTTCACGTACAATATGTTGATTAAGTGGTTTTGTAAGATGGGGAATTCGATGGAGGGGATTAGGATTCTGGAGGAAATGTTGGATAATGGTTGTTTTCCAAATAAGTTAACTTACAGTGTATTGATTGAGGGGCTTCAGGATATGGGAAAGGAAGGGGAAGTTGGGAAGGTTGTTTCATTGGCTATGTCAAGAGGGAGAGTTGATAGTAGTTCTTGGGATCTTTTTGTAACCAAGATTGTTGGCAAGCTGGATAGTGGGGTGGATGTTCTTGATCAATTGTTACTGGAGAGTGTTACCTAAAGGGACCCTCAATAAGAATCTCTGATATGGAATGTTGTTCAGACTTTAACTGGGTCATAAGCTTTTTCTTTGGCTACATAGTTATTTCAAGGGAGATGGGACAACAATGGGGAGTGTGACACCAGACTCTTATCAACAATTGCAATTTCTGTCATGAATTGGTTGTAGCTCTGGCTATGAAACAGGTCATCATGAGAACTTGGGGAACAAGCTGTTTGAGATTCCCTCAGCCAATTCATCTGACTTTCTCTGGCAAAGTACTGAATTGTAGTAAGGACTAAAGTCTTTACCATGATTGCAAAGTGAGCTGTAAGTGACCAAGTTGTCTCGGTAGGTATAGAAGTTTTCTAAGCTAGCAGCTTTGACAGTTAGCACCCTGAAGTTTGCAATCACTTTCCAGCTGAGAAGCTTCTCTTTTTACACTGATAACAGAACAATAACGTTGATCTTGCATGGATGTGGGAGATCAGATTCGCATGTTGACTACCGGCATGACGGTGGTGTGGGGATAGGTCCTTGGATGAAGACTTGGTAATTCAACTTTGAAAGTTTAATTTCCAAAACTCTTGCGTTGGTCATGTTGTAGTCCTTGGTGCTGCCTGCAAACGAAGACAGCTGGTGGATAACATTAACAAGCTGTATTTTTGAGAGTTTTAGTTTGTACTACTACCCACATTTTCTCTGTAAGTGTTTGCAACTGATGACTAATTCTAGATTATCTTTAATAAGACCTTTTGATGCAAACCTGACATTGCAAAGTATGTAAAAGAAATATATATAAAGCAATAAAATTTTTTAATTTATATTGGAGCAGCCCTGATTTATTTATGAAATCCAGCTGGATGGACTTAGCAGCGGAAACATTTCTAATTGCCCAACTCTCTCTTGTAGTTGTAGATCAAGAATTGGTCTTTTAAGCTTTCGTTTGTTTTTGGACTAGTTGTTGTTATGAAGGTGACCATTGACGTTCTTATTCTAAAGGGGATTATCAAAAGTCTAGCCTTTGATAGTCTTTGGCCGAGTGGCTAGCTAACGTATCACATGAAAAATCATGCGGTTTTACTCAAACCATGTTTCTCAAACATCTCTATGCAGCTCTGCTCAACAAGTAGTTATATGATCATAGTCAATGGTAAGAGGGCTTCAAATATATATATTTAAATTCGAAAAAAAAGGTCTAATACAAAAGAATTAGACAAAACACACGTAAATCATGAGACATTTGTTATATAGAAAAAGGCATTAATCTGGTTCCTTCCTCCATGACATGCTTTGCATGAACTCATCTTTTCACGTTCTCTGCAAAATGGGAATGCTTCCTGAAATGCTGACTTCTTTTCCCATTTATAGAGAACCCAAGTCGTTTAAAAACGTCTCAAAGGCATTTTTGAGTTGAAATGTAGGCCTTTACATTTCCATCAACTTTCGTATTTATCGCATGTAATTTGTTGGGTTACATTTCTTTTGGCTTAAATTCAGTAAACTCCAATGGGAATTGGTTTCCAAAAGGCTGAGCTTCCCTCCTGTGTCATTGTTTTGAGTTTTGTTTTTGATTTTCCATTTACATACAAATGCCCAGCTGAGGCTATAATGTTAGAAAAAGGACACCGTAGTTTAGAAGGTAGGACGTAATCAGTAATAATTTAACCAGTGGAACTTATTTTAAAAGTCCATTTTCCAGGTCAAAGCAAGAAATAAACAAAAAGTGAAGACCGAGCCTTGGAACACAACAGGGCAGCATTAACAAGACTTTCATGAGCCGTGAGAACAAGAGACTCTCCTCCACTTTTCCAGAGAACAGTGGGCGCAGCAAATTACCCAGTAGTATCATCTGGGAAAGATAATTAAAACAGAAACGAGCTAAGAGAAGAAGTTCTTCTTTTCTTTTTTTTTTTAAATGTATTTTTAAGTGGGGAGCTCTCTTGTCCGGCGGCTGGAGTCTCCTCCCAGTGACCCGATCGCCACCTTTCCGGGAAATTTTCCTTCAAAAGTCCTCTTTTGAAGTAATCTGTAGCTGTGGGTTCGTGGATTCTTTCTTCAACATTAATTTATATTTCAGGTCCTCTCTCTCTCTCTCTCTTGTAATTCAGCTTTTCTAGCTGGTTGACTATGTGGGTCGTCGCTTGTGCTTCAAGTAGATAAGTATTATGATTTGAGTTCTCCGAATTGCTCTTTGAAGGTTCAATTTTGAAGAAAAAGATATTTAAAGTTGATTTTTATTTTCAAGATCTCATTTTCTTTGAATTTCTACTTGAGTTGGTTCATTTTCATACTTTTTTCTTTATTTGTTTTTTTATTTTCAGTTTGAAGTCCCATGTACAATGATGCATTTGTTGCTTTCTATTTAGTTTCCCCCTCGGACTATTCTGCTAACTTGTGTTTGGTTGCCTAGAAAATGTAAGGAATGAAAGAGAACTGAAATTCTTTTGTTGTAGCCTTTCAAGATCTACTGCTTGAGAAAACAAGTTTGACTTGAACTTTTTTAATTTATGGAAATCGGGTGAGACGAACCTTAATTATTTTGATAAAGGAGAGAGAAAAAAAAAAAAAGCTCAGTCTTTTGTTATGAGAAAATAAATTGATTTTATGTCTTCACTTGTGTTTTCTTGGCAACCAAACAGAAAGTTTAACGTGTCTTTGATCTTTTTAATGGGATTGTGGTGATTATTGTATGGGGGAGGGCCACCTGCTTTGTTGTTATCTTCTTACTTGGGCCAGCAAAAAGAATGGTCCTTTAGTATGCTATCTTTGCTGCTTTATTTTTTTTTTTACTCTTATCTGTAAATCAATCTATGGGAGGCAATGTTCCACGTAACTTCACTTATATGTCTTGCTATTAATCCGGCATAGTGGTCTAGAAGTTTTAAGCAAATAGCTCCGAGAGGCTTATTCAATTTTGATTTTCCTGTAGGTGTTTTGTTTAATAAAAATGGAAGCATTATTTTTGGATGAAAATGCTTCTACCACTATCTTGCAGCTAGGCTTTTGCCATATTTGGTTGGCTCATTGACCATATTGGAAAAAAGGATTATGCTTCTTAGATTTCATTGGGCTGTGATGTGATGGCAATAGACATAGTCACTAGTGCCTCATTTGTTCCGGCTCCAGAGATCCTTTCTCAGACTGTAGAGGCCATTCTTGAGACTGTGGTTGCTGCAAATGATGTCCTCTTTAAGAAGGATAGTTTCAAGGAACTTGCAACTTACTTAGAGAGAATTGTCCCAGTTCTAAAAGAGTTAAATAGAAAATATATTTCTAATTCTGAGAGCTTGAACAGTGCTATTCAGATTCTCAATCGAGAAATCAAAGCTGCAAAGCAACTGACTCTAGAATGCAGTACCAAAAGCAAAGTATATCTCCTTATGAATAGCCGTGGAATTGTCAAGCGCCTAGAGGATACCACAAGAGAGATAAGCAGGGCACTAAGTCTCCTTCCATTGACATCTTTAGAACTTTCTTCAGGTATAGTTGTAGAAATTGGAAATCTCTGTGACACTATGCAGCAGGCTGAGTTCAAGGCTGCTATAGGAGAAGAAGAGATCTTAGAGAAAATTGAGACAGGCATACAGGAGAGGAATGCTGATCGTTCTTATGCGAACAATTTGCTGGTTCTCATTGCAGAGGCTGTTGGGATACCTACTGAGAGGTCTGCTTTAAAAAAGGAATTTGAAGATTTCAAAAGTGAGATTGAAAATGTCAGGCTTAGGAAGGACAAGGCTGAAGCTATACAAATGGATCAGATCATTGCTTTGTTGGGAAGGGCAGATGCTGCTTCTTCTCCTAAAGAGAAAGAGATGAAGTATTTCACTAAGCGGAAATCTCTGGGTAGTCAACCACTGGAGCCTCTCCAATCATTTTATTGTCCAATCACTGGGGATGTAATGGTAGATCCAGTGGAGACTTCTTCAGGACAGACATTTGAGAGAAGTGCCATAGAAAAGTGGTTTAAAGAGGGGAACAACTTATGCCCTCTGACGATGACCCCACTAGACACTTCAATTCTACGCCCTAACAAAACTCTGAGGCAGTCAATAGAAGAGTGGAAGGACAGAAACACTATGATAACAATTGCTTCCATGAAACCCAATCTCACATCCGGAAATGAGGAAGAAGTGCTTCATTGTCTAGGACAGCTAAAGGATCTTTGTGAAAGAGACCTGCACCGAGAGTGGGTAATATTGGAGAACTATATACCAGATCTTATTCAACTTCTTGGTGGAAAAAATCGTGACATAAGGAATCGTGTGCTTGTCATGCTTCACATTTTGACGAAGGATAATGATGATGCAAAGGTACTCTACCTGAAACTGGATCCTTTTGATTCTGTTTTTTAGTTTTCTGGAGTAAATTGCAACTAGATATCTTTAATCATATTGAAAAGGATCTTCTTGGAGATACAGGTAGTGGTGAAATGCATGATCAGGCATGTAAGGAATTAGATTCAGTTGTTTGCGTAACATGCACAAACAATTATATTTCATATACCTTTTCATCTTCGCCTAGAGTTGGATTTTGTTTTGTTTCACTTCACTTCATAAAAATGAGCTTCAGTCACGATTATTGAATTATAGGATACAGTAGAGGAGTTGAATATTTGAAAGAGTAGACTACTAAAGTATATATCTGGGATCACATTCATCTCAGTATCCCATATTACAAATCTGTTCTGCCTACCATTGGTATAGGTTACTCATGCTGATTTACCGTCTTCTTTAACCGGAGCAGGATTACTTGCAGGTGCCTTGCATAAATTTGGATTCATGCTAACCAAGAGTTGCATATATGTTTCTCACATGTTTTCTACCCAAAAATTGAAATATCTTGCAGGATAGAGTGGCAAAAGTTGATAATGCGATTGAATCTGTAGTTCGATCCCTGGGGCGTCGTATTGATGAAAGGAGGTTAGCAGTGGCATTACTTTTGGAGCTATCAAAATATAATTTGTTACGAGACAGCATTGGCAAGGTTCAGGGTTGCATTCTTCTGTTGGTGACAATGGCAAATGGTGATGACATTCAAGCTGCTAGAGATGCAGAGGAAATATTGGAGAATCTTTCATTTTCTGATCAGAATATCATACAGATGGCAAGGGCAAATTATTTTAAACATTTGCTTCAGTGTCTATCTACAGGTTCATGCCTCAAACTTGATGAGCTTTTAAGTTCTCAATAGGATATTCATATTTCCTCTTCCATCCCAACCTGAGCACTTGACAAGTTCATCCTATAATCATGTTGTATGAAGCATATTTTCGAAGAATCAAGAGACTGCATTTTCAGAGAGCATTTTGACCAGATAAAGTATCTAAAAAACCCAGGTTATCCTTGAAAAGTTGGCTCATTAGTGCACTATGATTAATCAACTTGTACTTCAATTAATTGAAATTATAGGCCATATTATACTTAATGTTAACATCCAGCATTTTCTTAATCTCAATATTGGTGCATGGTTCCGCCTAAAGATAATCATGTAACATACAGATGAGGAGGTCTGGATGTCCTTGTTTGTATAGTTTTCTTGGCAGTGATTCAACTTTAAAGAGATTCTTATTTTATTACTTTAGTTGTACCCACTTCTTCAAATATAAACAATTTCAACATTTCTAGTAGAGCCGCAGAAGTGGTTTATGTGGCTGCGGTTAGGTGTATATATTGTCCCTATTTCCTTCCACATTCAGCCTTTGGTACAAATTGGTATTGTGCATCAAATTGCAATGTCTCAATTGTTTTTGGCATTATTTGAGAAACACTTACTGAAGTGTTTCTAAATCTCTGCAGGACCAGAAGATGTAAAACTGGTCATGGCAACAACTTTGGCTGAAATGGAGTTGACTGACCATAATAAAGTTGTATTGCTAGAAGGAGGTGCATTGGATCCACTTCTTGACTGGATCTCTCAAGATGGTATTCAGATGAAAAGTGTAGCTGTTAAAGCTCTTCGAAACCTCTCAAGTGTACCAGAAAATGGCTTGCAGATGATCAAAAAAGGTGCAGCACGTGTTTTAGTTGACCTCCTTCGCATCAGTTCACCATCCCCATCCTTACGAGAACAGGTTGCTGCAACGATAAAGCACCTTGCAGTATCCACTATGTCACAAGAATCCAAAGAGACGCCGGTTTCATTATTGGAATCAGATGAGGATATTTTCATGCTATTCTCTTTGATTAACCTGACGGGGCCAGAAGTCCAACAAAACATCCTTCAGATCTTCCAAGCATTGTGCCAATCCCCCTTTGCAGCAAATATCAAGACCAAGCTGACACAGGTATACATCTTTTTGGAGAATGATGTTACTCTGCTCTTTTGTGCTGGAATGTATTTCTTCTAAGAAACAATTTTAAATAAGTTAATTTGCTCTTGGGAGGCTTTTCAAAAAAAAAAAAAAATTGCTCTTGGGAGAAAAATAACAAAGGTGGCTGTATTAAAGTAGAGGTTGAAATAATTGTGAACAACAATGATCCCTTAAACAAGCTACACCTAGGAAACTTCCATAACTTGTCTATGATGCCCAGGCTTAGCCTCCTTTCAACTGATTGCTCAATGCCTAATGCAGAAGTTAGGTTGCTTATATGAATTAGCTATAGGGAGCAAAGTTCTAGCTCCCTTTGTTTTCTTTTACTGCAAAGACATCTTCTTGCTTTATCTAGGGTGTTGGTAGTTATTGCTTTTAGTGATTCCTTGAATTCTGGCTTCTGAATGGGTTGAATTATTTATAGAGATTAACCTTTTCAAAGTATCTTGAAATTCTGAATTCATATGTAAAACAAGCACCATCTTGATTTTTTTTTTTTTACATTTTAAATTTGCATGGACATATTTCTCTTTCTTTTCCTCTCTTCTTTTATTATTTGAGCGTGCTGTTATTGTACCCCACCCGCAAACCTCTTCTTTTTTTATGTTTGTATGCCTACTCATATTTCTCCAGTCAAATGCATATTTCTCTGGATTTGACTTATCTATGTAATTGTTTTGCTGGATATCATTTCAACTCCAACTGATTTATGACATTAACAGTGCTCAGCCATCCAAGTATTAGTCCAGTTATGTGAGCGTGATATTGAAAATGTACGGCCAAATGCTGTGAAGCTTTTCTGTTGCTTGGTAAATGATGGTGATGAAGCCACTATCCTGGAGCATGTGCATCAGAGATGCCTTGAGACTCTACTTAGGATCATCCAGTCTTCTAATGATGAGGAAGAAGTTGCTTCTGCTGTGGGCATTATTTCTAACCTTCCAGAAAATGCTCAGATCACTCAATGGCTTGTGGATGCTGGTGCAATTCCAATAATTTTTCAGCTTCTTTGCAATGGCAGGCAGAATGATTCCCATAGAAGTCAGTTAGTGGAAAATGCTGTTGGAGCCATCAGTCGTTTTACTGCTCCAACAAATCTGGAATGGCAAAAGAGAGCAGCTGAAGCTGGTGTTATCCCCATTTTAGTTCACTTCTTGTATTTTGGGACCACCTTGACCAAAAACCATGCAGCCACTTCTCTGTCTCGTTTTTCCCTGAGTTCGCTTGAGCTGAGCCAGCCAATACCAAAGCACAAGGGATTCTGGTGCTTTTCAGCTCCACCAGAGACTGGTTGCCAGGTTCATGGAGGAATTTGTTCTGTTGAATCATCATTTTGTCTTGTAGAAGCTGAAGCAGTGAGACCCCTTGTAATGGTTCTTGAAGAATCAGATCCAGGAGTGTGTGAAGCTTCTTTAGATGCACTGTTGACTTTAATTGAAGGTGAAAGACTGCAAAGTGGTATTAAGGTGCTAGCAGAAGCAAATGCAATAACACCAATGATAAAATTTCTTAGTTCACCTTCCCTCAGACTGCAGGAAAAAGCTCTACATGCTTTGGAAAGGATTTTCCGGCTGCCTGAGTTCAAACAGAAGTATGGTCCCTCCGCTCAGATGCCTCTAGTGGATTTAACACAGCGAGGCAATAGTAGCATGAAGTCCCTTTCAGCCAGAATACTTGCTCACTTGAATGTGCTTCATGACCAGTCTTCTTATTTCTAGAGAATTCAATGGCTTTGACTTTCTTGAATCATATCTGAGGAGATAATGACCCACACAGAACTCACCTCGATGCTTTTATTTTGCAAGAATGGTAAAGCTGGTGCACATCCTCAGGCTCAAACCTCTATGTTTCTAAGCAGAATAGAACATGCCTTTCTTCTCAATAATAAAGGCCTGCTGACTAATTCACCTCGCAACCTAAGCAAGAACCATAAAACCACCTATGTTGTTGTGGGCGGGGGTGTATCTGTTTATGCTGTTGCTTGTCACTGCTCGAGTAGCAGCACCTTGAATCCAAGGTGATAGAAATCAAATTAGTGATTTGCTATAAAGAGAACCATTGCAGGGAAGAGATTGACAAGTGGCTCATATTAGATGCCATGGGATTTGTTCGGTCTGTACAGTTGAAGTCCATTTGACAATTGGTTTGTTCGGTCTGTAAAGGAAATCTTGTTAGCATACCACTTGCGAGATAGCTAGGCATATTGATATTTTCTAGGAAATTGAATTCTTTTTCATGTATGTTCTCTGATTCTCCTTTCCATTCTTTCATCGCCCAAGTCGTTGCTTTACCTATAGCTTCTGTGATTCTGCTGTATTCGATGATAAAGTTGAGAAAATTTAGAACGAGATACTCTTGAATTCATCAGCTTAGTAACCAAGTGTAAATGAGGAGAATGCGTCTGTACGTGACAGATGGAAATCTGAAAGATGAAACCAATGACTTCCATTTCTAGCATGCAGCAAAAGTTAAACTAGTAGTAGTTTCAGCTTGAATCCAATTTCTTTTTCTATAAGCATAAAAACACCAGGTTTTCGGTTATTCGCAACAGTTTGTTCTTTTGATTCTTCTATGAGGAAGTAGCATTGCGTTTCATTATTACACCCTTTCTGCTCTGAGCCAACATATAACAGGTTAACCTAGTTCTGGAAGATGTCATGAACCAACTGAAACAATCCCTTGCCTACACTCTGAAAAATGGCATGGAACAAAACCAAACTCAGCTTCTCATCATCCAAATCCTCCAAACCCCAAACATCCCTTATGCCCACAAGCTCTTCAACCTCATTCCACAGAAAACTGTCTTTCTCTACAACAAACTCATCCAAGCCTACTCCTCAATCAACCAATCCCACCAATGCCTCACTCTCTACTCCCAAATGTGCCTCAACAACTGTTCCCCCAACGAACACTCGTTCATCTTCCTTTTCCCTGCGTGTGCTTCACTTCCCTCCCTTCTTCACGGCCAAATCCTTCATACCCAGTTCGTCAAATCTGGGTTTGGTCTTGATTGCTATGCCTTAACGGCTTTGCTTGACATGTACGCTAAACTACGTATGCTACCGTTGGCTCGGAAAGTGTTCGATGAAATGCGTGTTAGAAACTTGCCCACTTGGAACGCATTAATTTCCGGGTACTCGAGGTGCGGGGATATGAAGGAAGCCTTCGAATTATTTAAATCGATGCCTGAGAAGAATGTGGTTTCATGGACCACCTTGATATCTGGGTACTCCCAGAATGGGCAGTATTCGAAAGCCTTAGACATGTTTTTAGGGATGGAGAAAGAGACGGGGGTTAAACCGAATGGAGTGACTATTGCTAGCGTGCTTCCAGCATGTGCAAATCTTGGAGCATTGGAGGTTGGACAAAGGATTGAAACATATGCAAGAGAGAATGGATTGTTTGAGGATTTGTATGTGAGCAATACTGTGCTGGAAATGTATGCAAGGTGTGGTAAAATTGAGGTGGCGAAGCTGGTGTTTGATGAGATCGGCAAGAGGAGAAATTTGTGCGTTTGGAATTCAATGATCATGGGTTTGGCTCTTCATGGAAATTGTATTGAGGCTTTCGATTATTATGATCAAATGCTGGTGAGCAGTTCCTTGAATAAGCTATACTGTTCAAATTTTTTCTGAAAAAGGTCTCAGTTTCCTATTTCATTTCTTCTTTTTATGTTTGTAATTTCATTGATGGTAACAGCAAGAAGGAACCGCACCAGATGATGTTACATTTGTGGGAGTTCTCTTGGCGTGCACACATGGTGGATTGGTGGCGAAAGGACGAGAACTTTTCGAATCAATGGGGAAGAAGTATCATATTAGTCCCAAGCTGGAACACTACGGATGCATGGTTGACCTCCTAGGTCGGTCTGGAGCATTGCAGGAAGCTTATGATCTTATAAAAAGTATGCCTATGAGACCTGATGCAGTGGTTTGGGGAGCTCTTCTAGGAGCTTGCAGCTTCCATAACAATGTTGAACTAGCAGAGAAAGCAGCTCAGTCTCTCTTTCAGCTAGAACCATGGAATGCGGGAAACTATGTTATTCTTTCCAATATATATGCATCCTCGGGCTGGTGGGATGGGGTTGCGAAGCTAAGGAAGTTGATGAAAGGTGGCCAAATTACAAAGGCAGTTGGATATAGTTTCATTGAAGTGGGGGGTGGAATGCATAAGTTTATTGTGGAGGATAAATCGCATCCCAGATGTGATGAAATATACCAAATTTTAGATCAAGTCTCGAGAGTGATGAAGTTACAAGACAAATTAATGGACTCTGAATCCGAACTTTGATTTATTTATAATGGAGCAGATCTAAATGTTTCAGCCAATGTGCCCAATAGGATGAACTACACTACTATAACTTGTTCTGAAAAATGTAACTATGTGATGGAAGAATTGCGACCAAACAGGACAAATCCTCCTGCCTGAAAGAGGAAAATGCAGGCACAATAATAAAATTAGAAGAAATAGAAAGATGGCAATTGTAAGAACTTGACCATAAATCATGCTCCCACTATCTGAAGCTTTATGAACTTAACCTCCAAAATTAGGCCATGGTTAGGATACAAAGCTGGAGCTTAAAAGGGTATCAACTAACAAGCACTGATTATCCATTATCTGTAAAACTTTGCTACGCTTGAAAGTTTTTTAAATAGATAAGAGCATCAAACATTCAATTCATTGAATCCATTGCAATATAAGGAACTCATGCTATGAGCTCAATGTTCTTCAGGTAGTCTCTGAAAAAGGAAGGCACCCTTGAAAGAATACATGTCAGGGGAGTTAAAATGTATCATTATGTTAAATTTTAATGAATAAACTTGCCTAAAGTGTTTCTTTTAGACGATAAAACAAGGTATGTTTGGCGAAAGAAAAAAATTGAGCCAAGGAAACAAATTAATGTAGTCGCCAGTATTTCTTCCTCTCTGTCAGTAGTTATCTCCTGAAAAATCTCTTGACCCACCAGTAAACCTGGTGCTGTTTTATGCCGTCTTCTCCTTCTTTACTCTATATCTTTGACTCCTTCCCACAAATTTAAGAATCTCATCAATAAGTATCACAGGTATAGAGACCAAAATTACCAAAAGCCACTCATTCAGACTCAAAGGGACGACACCAAACGTATTTGCCAAGATTGGAACGTAGAGTATCAGGCAATGAAGTCCAAATGAGACTGACATGGCAACCAAAAGCCAAGGGTTTCTCCAAGGTGGCATTGTAAGCAGGCTGCTGTCTTCAGAAAGCGCATTCAGAGAATTGAACATTTCGATTGCTACTAATACAGACAGTGACAGAGTCATTGCCTTCACTTTACCAATGGTGAAGTAGTCACATGGGTTTGAAAAAGTGATCAGGTGACCTCCACCAACCATATATGGAGCTGCAGAAAAATTTGACCATGTAGAGCACTCTCCCCAGTTCCGAAGCTGAGACAATTCAACTAGTGTGTGCCCATCACTCACAAGATTGATACCCATAAAGGAAGCCTGAGTGTACCACAAGATGAAGATGCCAACAGTTGCTATACCCACGTAAGAACCTATTATCTGTAATTAAACAAATGTAAACACTAGTCCATTTCAGTTCTTTCTTGCTTCGGCTTCATAACAAAAGCACAGGTTCATGGATACACATATTCATCTTTCGCATTACACATCAAAATTGTGAATAGTTTCTGTTACTCTTGATAATGTTACAAAAACCAATAATACTATCACCAATACCGCAATGAATGTGTACTAACTGGTACGACATGAGAAGACTGTTCCAAGAAGGAAGAAAATGCTATTTATTGAACTCTTGTGATGCTATCAGAATGAGAGGGGGGGATCTAATTGGGGAAAAAATCTTGAGAAAATTTGAATATGCAAGATGAAAAATATTATCATAGTCAGGAAGCATGATCACTTAACCATTTTAGAAATGCAGAACCTTGCCTTGCCTAGATAGTATAAAATAATATTAGTAGGCACAAACTATAGTAAAGTATGCCATAAAAAAGTTCAAGGGGGAGATAATGAGTGCTGAACAACACTAACCAAGTAACGGAAGAGAACCCAGGAATTAATGAGAGCATCATCACTTCTACGGGGTGGTTTCTGCATTATGCCAACATCTGGTGGATTAAACCCAAGAGCTGTCGCAGGAGGACCATCAGTAACCAAATTCACCCATAAAAGTTGCACGGGTATCATACATTCTGGTAATCCCAGAGCAGCAGTCAAGAATATGGATATTACTTCTCCAACGTTGGATGATATCATGTATCTGTAGATTTAGGAAATGAATAAATAAGGCATATCTTAATTGCTGAGAGGAACATAATAGAGCTAATTAACATACCTTATAAAAGCTTTCATGTTATTATAAATTGAGCGACCCTCAGCAACAGCTGAAACAATGGTGCTAAAGTTGTCATTTGCCAAAACCATATCAGAAGCTTCTTTTGCAACCTGGAAAATTGAGCACTGAGCATATTGAGTCTCAAAGGTTTTAGGCAGGACTGACATCATTTTATCTCTCTCATTTTCTTTCTGAAGAAGAAAGGACTTATTTAATGGTCATTAGTTGGGAAGAACTTGAAACTATTAGTTCCAACAAATGGTACAAATTTATGTCAAGTGATAGGAAATGCCCAAACAATCATATAGTTTGGTCTACGCAGACTCACATGAAGACCACAAGAATTAAGATTCTATTTTTCAACCAACTGAATCAAGGTGATATGTTACCTCAGTTCCTGTTATGCCCATAGCAATTCCAATGTCAGCCAGTTTGAGGGCAGGTGCATCATTCACACCATCTCCAGTCATTGCAACAATTTCCCCCATCTCCTTTAGCATCCTAACAATTTCTTGCTTATGCCTAGGCTCAGCACGAGAGAACACCTTCCCCCCAGGTTTTGACAAAGTTTCAATTTGTTGCGAAGGGGAGAGAGCCATGAATTCTGTACCAGTAAAACTTTTCCCTCTAAGATCCTCTCTATCAGAAAACAATTTAATTTCAAGACAGATAGCCTCAGCTGTGGATTTATTATCCCCAGTTATCACCATAACTTTAATCCCTGCTCCTTTACAATCTTCAATTGCTGTGTGAACTTCATCTCGTGGAGGGTCCTATCAGATGGATATGGCAAATTAAATATCTGGAAATCATTAACTTGACAATTTATTAACTAACATGAATGACAAAAGCTGTTACATATGCTTACCCTGAGACCAACAACTCCTACAAAAATCAAGTCACTTTCAATGGAAGAATAGCAAGCTGGATCAAGCAATTTCTTATGAGCAGGATGATTCTCAGAATGGTAATCTGAAAATTCTCCCAGTTCATCCTTATATGCCAATCCTAAGCATCGCAATCCCTTTGAACTCATATCTGAATGTCTTGAAAGCAATAATTGCCTACAAGGTTCATCCATTGGAACAAGAGATCCATCTGCAAGTTGCACATGTGTACTACGTTCCAGTAAACTCTCCACAGCACCCTACAGATAACACACATTAATTTAACGATTAAAGAAGTAAGGGCATAATAAATCATTTATAATATTAAAAATAATGAATCTGAAAAATTAATAATAGTTGACAGGGCAGAGTAGCAACTGCAAACAGAGCAATATACGTAACAAAACCAAACTCTGAAATATATTCAGAAGATCGGAAAAATGACAACAATCTTACAATATCCTCAAGTTGCATTTCCAGTTCTTGCAAATCTTTCTTACACACAAAAATTGTTAAGTCTGTCATGTTATTCTCCTTCAGGGGTGTTCTATCATTCAAAACTATATAGAGCTTAATAATTGTCCAGAGCAGCAAAGGACATTTTGACATTTAGGAAATATAATGATTCAAGAGTTTGGCAAGTTTAAACAAAACAAACACCAGAAATGCCAACTCTGTCATGTTTCAACTCTTACAACAATTCAGTCAAGCATCATTTGCCAATGCTTTGTAAGTTCTGCCAGCATTGGAATGGAGAAAAAATAAAATATAGAACCCTTACAAACTACTTTATTGCCTTTCTGCTGTTTCACACTCATAAGCATTTTACCAGTATACAAATATATGTCTATTATGTTTATCATTTCAAATCCATTTAAGTTCCAAGTTTAAACTAACTGCTAATTTCAACTCGGGGAAGTTAAATCTAAATATATGAGAGAGGTGTATTCATAATTATGTGATCCTTTTAACCATCAGCAGCATAATAAATTGTAAACAACATATGAAGATTAATGAAAGCTAGGACAAAGATTTGAACCAGCAAAAGGAAAATGACAGTCACCTTGACAAGGAGTCGATTGTGCCCAGTAGACTCTCTGACAATAATGCTCATAGACTTTCGTACGCGATCAAATTCCAATGTTGCAAGCCTTTTTGATCTTTTGGTCCACCACTCGCAGCAGCCTACATTTTTCCATATATCATAAATCAAAGAACTGCATCATAACTGCCTGACATGTGATGTACATAGAACTAGAAAACTTTGAGCTAACCTAATTTAACTGTGCTTCGGTCAATCAAATAGTTTGCAACAAGCTGTATGTCACGAATTTTGTTCCTCATCTTGGCATCTGGAACTCCCATCTTTTCAACCAAAACCTTCAAAGCTGCTTCTGTGGGCAAACCTGTAGCTCGAAAAAGGCGACCATCACTGAAAATCCCAGCATCATTGCAAACTGCACATATTTCTGCCATAACTTGTAAGTTAGCATCCATATTGTAGCAAGTCCAATCAACAATTCCACCATCCTTAGGATCATAAGTTGTGCCTTCAACATGGAAAATACGACAAGTAGTGGTTCTCCCACCCAAGGTAAAGAATTCCGCAACAGACATTTGATTTGTGGTCAAAGTCCCAGTTTTGTCTGAACAGATCACAGTTGTGCATCCTAATGTTTCAACACTAGGAAGCTTCCGTACAATTGCATTCTTCTGAGCCATTTTCCTTGTACCAAGAGCTAAACATGTTGTTATTACAGCAGGGAGGCCTTCAGGAATCGCGGCTACAGCAAGGGCAACAGCTATCTTGAAATAGTAGGTGCATTTCTCAAAAGAGAACCGGACATTTGCAGGCCATCCATCTACCATATCCCAAGAGAGGAAGTTTTTGTAATTGATAAGCCACACAACAAGACAAACAACCCCAATTGCAGTTGTAAGCCTGCTCCCAAATTCATCCAACTTCTTCTTCAAAGGCGTGTCACTCTCTTCCAAAGAGGCCTCGTGTATTTGCTTCTGTATTTTCCCAATCTCAGTGTTCATTCCAGTGCAAACAACAATACAGACACAGCTACCATTCACCACAGTCGTACCTGCAAAAACCATATTTTCTTTTGCCTGCAACTCACATTCTTCCGGGAATATAGGACTACTACCTTTCAGAACAGGCACTGCCTCTCCAGTCAGTGCACTCTGCTCTAATCTCAAAGTTGAGGTTTTCAGAGCCGCTATTCTCATATCAGCAGGAACTTTATCACCAACCTGCAATTCCACGACGTCCCCAGGGACAAGCTCCCGGGCTGGCAGGTCTGGTACAAGGAACCCATCTCTTAAAACTCTTCCAGATTCACATTGCATCTCCTTAAGGGCCTCAAGTGCCTTCTCGGCATTGGTCTCTTGCCATACTCCAACAATGGCATTAAGGACTAAAATCAATACTATCACAAAAGGCTCCACATAAGCCTCAAGCCCAGACTCATCAGATTCACTTCCATGCATATAAGCTAGAATAAAAGATATAAAAGCTGCAACCATAAGTATCTTTACCAGCATGTCATCAAATTGTTCTAACACAAGCCTCCATAGGGGCTTCCCTTTCTCTTTGACGAGCTCATTCCAACCGTACCTCTCACGCTGGTTTTCCACCTCATAACTACTCAAACCCTTGTTTAGTTTCACATTGTACTCTTTCAAACACTGCTCAACAGACCATGACCACGCAGGGAATGGTCTTTCCTCCATTTGAATCCTCAACTTGGCGCCCAAATTATCACCCCAAAGTAAAAATTACTTCAGTATTCCCTTGAACCCATATCAGATTCCTGCAAAACAGATCAAAAACATGAAGCTTGAACTGAAATTAAGTTATAACAAAGAGAGAGAAAATATATATCTCCCAAGTTTCCACCTGTAACATCATAATTAAACACGAAAATAAGTAAGAAATGCATAGAGATTAAAACCTTTGGTGTAAAAACAGAGCAGAAGCAGAAATCTTGCATTGACTACCTTCATTTATATGAAATGTTATCGAATTATAACAAAAATGAGGGTTACTAATTACCCAACAACAAAAGGCTACGTTCTTTTTCTGCTTCTTCTTTAATATAAAGAAGCCAACCACCTCCAAGAACTAGCCACCATAACAATAACTGATCCCGCAGAAAAGAAGGATTACAAAAGCAGCAGTTTTAACAAAAACCCAACAACCCTAAAGGAAAAGAAAATGCTTAGAGTGGCAATTAACTGCCAACAAAACCTTAAAAACTGTAACTGTAGTTAACCATATGACAAACAAAAAAAAAGAAAATCGTGTTAGAGTTTAAAAAAACTGTACCTATAAAACAAAAACAGACATGAAATGATTGAACTCCATTACACTCGAAAACTTCCTCTTATATGAAAACTTCAATGTGTATACAACAATAAAGAAAAAAGAAAAGAAAAAAAATAAAACCTTTGAATAAGACTAAGGCCAAGAAGAGAGATGGCTTAGAGACAAAGCAAAGTAGAAAGAAAATTCTTTGGTTCTCTTTACTCTATGTTGTTCTCTCTAGAAAGAACTCTTCTAATATAAGAAAAGAGAAGTAAAAGGAAGTTGTTCTTGGTCAGCCTTTTGATCTTCTATGGCTCTGCTTTTTCTGGGAGCGTGACTCACTGCATTTTCGAATTTGCTTTTGAAATTCCTCTATTTTATCTGTTAACGAACATTCAAAAATTAAAAAAAAAAAACACACACACACACACACACACACAACAAGTTTGTTCCTTTTTTACTAAAATGCCCTTGACGTTTACTATTATTAACGGGTCGTGTGTCTCTGTGTTGACTTGATGCGGGCGTATCCGGTGACCGTACAACCCACAAGAAATCCGTGGTGTTCCATTAAACACCAAAGATAAAAATGAGAAGGAAGAACATTAGTTAAACGAACAACAGAGTTTGGTTTGGTTAGTCTGGAACCAGACACTCCGAAGACAACTTCGTTTGAGGTGGTCGTTGTACAAAATTATTCTTTCTATATGGAAGTTGTTGCAAGACTTTGGATACTAGTTATAAATCAGCATTATCTTTTTATGGTATTTAATTGATTAATTATTTAATAAAAAAACAATAAGCCGTCGGGATCTTACCAAAATTTTCAATTTTCAATAAAGATTTTGTTTTCAACACTATCTACTTATTTTTCTTTCGAAGTCTAAGACACGTTTTCTAAAATTAATTTATACATATAAATTTAAAGAGCTGACTTTTTTTATTGAATTTTTAAATAATTATATTTTATTTAAATTTTTTTCAAAATTATTAGAGTTTTTCCTATTATTTTGATAAGAAATTTGGCTTTAGATTTGTTTGTTTTCATTTATATTATTATAAGAAGATAATCTTAGTGGGACCTAATTAATTATTTGGTTGGTCGGTAAATCCCAAAAAAAAAAAAATACAAAAAAATGTTGTAGCCTCACATTATAACTTTTCATCCACCAAATTTGTCTTGCATGATTGAATTTTTTTTTCTTCACTTTCCACTGTTCCCCAAATTTTAAGTTTAAAAAATTTGAAAGAAATAATTAAAATTTTTTCACCAAAAGTTTTTCAAAAGGGCGACAAAATCCATGGGGACAGAACGTAGTATGTCAGCTTCTTAAGTTTTTCTAAAATTATTGTCCTCTCTCAGATTGCAATGTTTCTTTATTGTCCGTCAGATTAGCATGTTCTGGGTTATTGTTTGGGAACCAATATTCCAGGAAACTTCCTTGTTTTACCTGCCACCCCGGTAGGTGTTATCATTTTGGCCGCTAGGATCCACTGATAATGACATGATTTCGGTCAATGCGAATCAATGCGTTATGTTACGCCTTTCATTTGATGGATTGATTATTTAATTAATTATCGTGTTCATTTCACAAAGATTTTTTCTGCTTTCTGCCCATTACTTCTTAGTGGAGCCCCTCCTCCAAATTTTTTTTTTTCCTTTCTTTTTCCCATTCTCCTTCTGTCCACCTTTCTGAAAATTCAAGCTAAGTCCGAATTTATTAGTATTTAATTGGAGAAAATTACAAGTCCAACAGAGCAACTATACTTATGGCAAATTCGACGAAAATAAAAAGTGGAAGGCAAGAAACTGACATCGCCGACTTACAATTTCACGTGAAAACGATTCCTTATTTTTTGTTTTTTATATTAAATATCAAGAGAAAGGAATCGGTTTGCTGTTACTAAAAGCACCAACCCCATGAGAAATGTATCATGTTTAACCATTGGAAAGAGACGGGATGAGAAAAGCCCACCTTTCTCAATCATGGACTGTACAACAATGGAGTGTGTGGGAATCCAATGCAAAGACAATTCCTTCTCTTGCCCATCTGCTCTTCTTTAAACCTGTATGCATTAATGAATCTCTTGTTTTTCCCATCACGTATATTCCTTTGCATTTCAGTGAATCAACCAATAACCCACTTTTGACTTCAATATTTTTAACTATGCTTTCACACAGGCTTGTGCCTGCGAAAGCCAAAATGTATCAAAGCTGACCCAAATCACTACCAAGCGGCAGCATATAATCTTTGTCTCTTTCAACGGACAAAACCAACATCTCCATTCTTTCCCTTTCTACTTCTTCTGTCCATTGTCTTGCACTTTGGATTTTGTCTTCCAAATTCGACAGCTAAGGCCTAAGAGTGCAATTGTGCAGCCAGCTGTGATCTACGTGCTCGTAAATAGCTGTGGTCCTTGGATTGCCCGGAGATGCTATCACATTGTGCGAGAAATTCCCTTTATTTCCCGAATGCGTCTCATGGCATATTAATACACATTTAAGTTTTCACAACAAGAACTATAGGAAAAAAAAAGCAGAGACTTTATCCACTCACTGAATAGCCCGTGTAGGTCGGTCTTGAGCAGTAATTCTAAGCTAGACGACATGTGGGGGATGTTTTCTTTACTATGTCTGAGAAAATCACCGTAATCAACTTCTTCATGAGTTCACATTTCATTATATTGTACCTCAAAGACCAGACACTTTATTGTAATGCTTAAATTTGAAAAGCAAAAGCATGGAGAAAATAAAAATAAAGTTAATGTGTGGCTTCTCTAGGTTTATTACATTAAATAAGTAAAGTTGTTATGCTGTTGTCCTTTGATAGTACACTCAAAATCCCATAGGTGGAATTTACTTGTACTAGTGGAGTTAAGTCAGAAGGAGCTATAGGAGGAGAAATAGAGGTCAGGGCTGTACAGAATAGTATTGGTTCTTCCGAAATGACCTTTTTTTTTTTCCTTCTTTTAATGAATTTCCTCTTTATAAAATAAAATTAATATTGGAAATTTCAAAATTTGCATCAATGCTTCCAGCCTTTTTCTCACATCTCCAAAAAAAGTAAGTGGTTGTCGATTTTGTGCCCTTATAAAGAAGGCAAAGGAAACAAAAGCCACGAAAGAGAAAATCAGAAAATGACATGACAGAAAAGATATTAAAATGGAAAGGGAGGAAATAGCCAAACATGTTCATAAGTATTAATTAATACCATTTAAATCTCCTTCAAGGAGTTTATAAAGAAGTAAAATCGAAAAGATGCGGTCTTGTCCATCTTGTTTAGGATCGCTTCTCTTCTTGGAGCCCAATACTTCTCATTCAGATGGGGCGGATCTTATCTGAGAAGCCAGCCCATTCTGGCCCTCCTTGATATTCATTAAAACCCAATTAAGCTACGACCTTTTCGATCTAACGGATGATGCCGTGTCACGCTGGATGGAGCAATAATCTAGCGGCCCAAAATTACCATCACAGCGGCCCCTTGACGCTTGTAGGGCTTTGTTTGGCACTACAAGTGGGATTACGCCCTTATAGGCAATATACTTTTCCTTGCACCCAAATCCCAAACACTCTTTCTCTTTCCTCTAGGGTTTTCCATCTGAGGTTTTACTCGCAACTCAGCAAGGTACTCTCCGTACGTTTCCTTGATTCTTTTCTCCAAGTATCTTTGGCTCTCGTCTGTTTGGATCCAAAGAAAACGAAGGACAACGCAAGTAACTGTCCCCATTGTATGTTCATTCTAGGGTTTATAATTGCATTTCTGGGCTTTCTTTGTTTTTAGGTTTCTATTGGGGATAAAGGTGCAATTTTGTTTGGGGGGAAAATGAGGCCTGTTTTTGTGGGGAACTTTGAGTACGAGACTCGGCAGTCGGAGCTGGAGCGTTTGTTTTCAAAGTACGGGAGGATCGAGCGCGTCGACATGAAATCTGGTAAACTATATATTCCGATGACTATAAGAACAATGAATGTGCCCTGGTTGGATTTTAGTTTTAGTGCTATTAGCGAAATGAATTTGCTACTGCTTTGATGTTAGATTGTGGGCTGATTGAGTTGAATCCCTTCTGAATCTAAAATGCGTATTTTTAATGTTTTGGTGCATCGTCCCACTTAACTCCAATGGAGTTTCTTTTATAACTGATGCCCTGGTGGAGCTACTCTTTTGGCTTTCTTCTCCCTTCATGTGGCTACCTTTTCATCAATCTCTACCTTTTTCTCTCGCTTTTTGTCACTCTAAAGAACAACTCGTTTACTAGTTTTATGCTTTGCCTTTTTGTCTGCCAGCTGAGCATCTTGTGAGCCGGTGCCATATCTTGTCTTTAATGATGTCTTAACTTAACTGACCCTTGAAGCTAATGAGGGGAATGTTGGGAGTGATTTCATGAGTAGCAGTCCGCAGGAGGATGCTTGTGACGTTGATTTTTGAATAAACGAAATTTGTTAAATGGGCAATTACCTTGTTGGAATTGGATGTCTGATATACAGCATCTATAGCGGTCTGTATATCTGATCACACCATCCGGAAGAAATTAAAATGGCAACCGCAGATTTTCAATTTTACTGGAGAAAACCTCCATATTAAGTGTTTGTTTTGACGCAGGAACTACTAAGGGAAAATGAGCTTCTATCTGGGCTCGCCAACTTCTCTGCAAAAAACTTCTATTGCAATGGAAAATTTCCTGCCTGCCTGCTCTACTGCCACTCACAGATGGCATCATCCTGCATTTTCTTCACTCGATCATGTTACTCACCCTCCTCACTGGCTGGTGGGGACCTATCAAATTATCATGTCATGCCTACTACCATTGACTATAGAGGATCTCTGGATTCTGTCATGCCATGCCTACTACCACTGACTATAGAGGATCTCTGAATTCTGTCATGCCATGCCTTCCATTTCTGAACTCCTGCTGTCTGAATGGCGAAACATGCTTTGCAATGATGTCTCAGACCTCAAAATTTGGATTTTAACCTTTAACATGCTACCATCTTGATTTAGTTCATCATGCAACGCTTCTACATCCTTATGTGTATCAGCCCTTCCTTCACATACGTGCAGGTGTCGTATTTTTTTCTTAATTCTTGCAGGGAAAAGAAATCCTGTGATTTGGCTGATGTACCCCCAGCTGTGTGGGTATAGCAACAATGGTACAAATTGTTATTTCTTCCCCTGATATCAGTGTATTTTGCAGGATTTGCTTTTGTTTATTTTGAGGATGAGCGTGATGCTGAAGATGCTATTCGTGGACTTGATAATATTCCTTTTGGTTATGACCGGCGTCGACTGTCTGTGGAGTGGGCTAAGGTGTGTAATTGTTTGTCTGAATTACTCATTTCTAGAGTTGCTGGTTTTGAGTTTTAATGGGAATGAAATCAATAATTTCTGATTTAAAGTGAATAATTTTTTCTTATTAGGGTGAACGTGGTCGGCATCGGGATGGTTCTAGGTCTACAACAAATCAGAGGCCCACTAAAACTTTGTTCGTTATCAACTTCGATCCAATTCGTACAAGGGAACGAGATATACTAAGGCACTTTGAGCCATATGGGAAGGTTCTTCATGTTCGCATTAGGAGGAACTTTGCATTCGTGCAGTTTGCAACACAAGACGATGCTACAAAAGCCCTCGAGGCTACACAAAGGAGGTAGTAATATACTTGTTTGTTGCATTGATTTCATGGTCAGATGGTATTGCTCCTAAAATACTATCTTTTGCCTTTACAGCAAGTTACTGGACAGGGTTGTGTCTGTTGAATATGCTTTAAGGGATGATGATGAGAGGGATGACAGATATGAGAGCCCTAGAAGAGGTTCTGGTTATCGTAGACGTGGTGATAGTCCATATGGGAGGTCACCAAGTCCTGCATATCGCAGGCGACCTAGCCCTGATTACGGTAGGGCTCGAAGTCCTGTTTATGACCGCTATAATGGTCCTGCTTATGACAGGCGCAAGACTCCTGAGTACGGGAGGCACAGGAGTCCTGAGTATGGCAGTGGCAGATATCGCAGGTAGTGATTATAGCCATTATTGTTGCTTGCCGGTTCTTTATCTCTTTTTCCGGAGTTTGTTTTGTGAGCTTATTGTGACATGTTCAAATTATTTTTTTTATTCCATAATTAATGCCATCCTTGCTGTTCATTGAATTAGCAGCCAATCACCTGCCCGAAGGTCCCGCACTTAGATGGCCGTCAGATTGATGGGGAAAAACTTGTTCAACATATGGGTCCTAAATTTTCGTTGTGGTTCTCTGCCTAGCTGCGTGTGCCCTTCGTATAAGAATGAACTAGCCTTTTTCTTTCTTTCCCATTGTACTTAAGTTGGGGGATTCTAGGTCAAACTACAGTCATTACTCGGTTGTAATATTCAGTCACAGTTTGGATTTATGTGCTGATCTTTGATATGGAGTCCAGAGCCACTTTTTCGTGTTAATATAGATAGTTTTGCTGATTAAAATGACCTTTGCCGGTTACTTCTTTGCCCTTTAACATCGTCTGCTGCAATTTGGCTGACTGATGATATTTCTTACAGGACTTCGACTTTGCCGGTTACTTCTTTGCCCTTTAACATCGTCACTTATTTTCAAATATCAGGATTGAGAAATCACCAACAAGGAACCAAAGGTTTCTGTGGTTATGTGGAATTATGAAGTGAATGGTTTAATTAATACGTAGGTCGTGATAAAATACCTCATGAACATGGTTTCTCTTGGCCGGGGACTTGCCTACAAGTTTGAAGTCGGTGTTTAGTCCTGCAAGTTGAGATTTGGTAAGAAAGTATGGCGTTTTCTGTAGACAGTAACCACCTATGACTTTGAACGTATAGACCAACAATTTTTTTGATCAATGATCATTTTCCATTAACAATAATCCCTGCCGTACAATAAGATTAATATAATATCTTAATGCACCAAAAAGGATTACAAGAAAAGGGTCAAGCGGAGGATTTCCTTAGCTCCTGATCAATCGCCTTCTGAAGCCAAGTCTCAGCGTCCTCCATCATTCCAGGGCTAAGCCTCACCATCAGGATGCAGAACTCGGTCTGATTCAGTGCCCCGTCTCCGTCAAGGTCACCTTCTCGAACCATCCCTTCCGCTTCCTCTTTGGTCATCCCTTCCATGCCTAAATGTGCAGAGTTTCTCCTCAGACTCTCTGGCGTTATCAACCCTCTTTCCTGGTCAGCTAGAAGCCGAAACCCTCCACATAATTCAGACACAAAGGCATCCACGTCGAGCTTTTCTGCCATCACAGGTAACAAATCCTCGTACTCGCTTGTTGTTGTCGAAGGTGTTCCGTTAATTCCCTTGTTTTCCATTGTGTTGGGTTGCTGAAAGATGCTTGTTCCACTCCGGAGTCTAAAACAAAAACAAATAGAGGGACAAGGATAGCTTAAAGGTGCGCACTGTGGACTTCGTACCGAGGGAGCGAGTTATATAAGGACCAGCACAGGGCCTTTATGAGCATGCAAAGTTTCATCTCTTTCTCTGGTTTCCATTTGATTGTGTGACGTGACACTCGAAATCCTTTTGGCCCCAAAAGCACTGCAACAATCAAGCGTCTAAAATCGATTTCATCTCTCATCGTATTAAAATGGACGGCTCGATTGGCAATGATGAGAAGATCTTTTTCCATTTTATGGTGGAGTCTTCGCTTTATACCAAGTCCTAGTAGGTATTATTATTAGTATGATTTCCCCTTTTTGTTTTATTTTTTTTTATCTTTGGGTTTATATTTTTATTCTCAACTTAACAGTTTCGAGGAAGGTGCATATGTAGGGCGAACCGGGGATCCGGTGGATAGACGTAATCATCTTTGACAGAAAGAATTGCTTAAATTGTCCGGTGTTGGCTTTCTATGAAGGTTCCTATTCTCCATCTCTCTCTTCAATTAGATATATAATTGGATTCTTGCAATTTGTTGCTAGCCCCAACTGTCCATCAATCATATTATTTGCCGTCCAATTTTTTCACTTATTCCGAACGAAACAAAAGATTTCTAAACCTTACCCTAATCTTAGCTTTCCTCACCCTTAAGTTTCTTTTCTTTCCTTTCAATAAAATTTCGATTTGATTTTACCTTTGGCTAAAATACCTCTATCTCTCTAAATTTTATCCATAATTCATTTCATGGCATTCGAAATAAATAATTCGATTTCAATGTGTAAATAGCATTAACAATAAATGTAAAATATCTAAAATGCACATTGCATAAAAAAGATGAATCAAATCTTTAGATCAAATATGAGTTTATGGTTTTTAAACTCATAAACAAATAAGAAAAATCAACTAAACAACTCAATCTTCATTTTCTCTTTTCACCTTTTGATGATGTCACTTTTGAATCACCTACCAATAATCAAAGATAGATTTCTAGTTTCTCTTTATAAATTGATTCTAAGTTGAGATGTCAAAAATCAACAATAAATCTAAAACATTTCAACAATGAAATTTAGATTTTGTGGGAGTTTTAGCTTATTGTTGGTTTAGAAACACTAAACTCTCTGATTTCTCTTATGAGAGAAGTGTAAAATTATTCTTACCACATTATTAAAATAATAAAAACATTAACAGTGTAGAGGGTTCTTTTGGTTATGGAGAGTGGACGTGTTGCAATGAGTGAATTAGGATACGCTAGAAGCGACAAAGAGAAAGACTGAAGCAATCTTTAAAGCGTAAGTGCTTTGGGTGACAAGTAGTGAGGGATGAGAAAAGGTGGAAGAGGTCGCAAATAACAGCGATTGGGACAAGCTGGAGAGAAAGAATGCTTGGAGGAATCTAGACAAAGCTTTCAGAGTAATCTTTTTGCTGAGTGTCTAAAATCTCCTCTCCTTACCTCCCAACGTCCTATTTATATTGAATATGAGCACTTTCTTAAAAATAGTTAAGAGAGCACATTTAATCATGGGAGAATGTACTTATCATGTAAAGACAGTTGAATAATGTTTTATGGGATATTAAAAGAATGACAATGTAGTTGAGTAGTAGGCGTAAGTTTTGAGTAAATGAAATAGTGACATTTGATAGTACGTCACATGTATATTTAAGAAATAAGGAAAGAAAAAAAAGGTAAAGCACATATAATTCAAAAAAAGTTACAAGGAAGTCCTCTTAACTATGTCCATATCTAAGCCATTAAGTCAAACTCTCTAAAATATCTCAAATGTGAAGGTAACTCATGAACCTTGTCACTTGTTCTAAATTACTTTCATTTCTCCATACAAATAGCTATTTCATACTTGTTCTTGGGTGTTTCTGTACTTGTAATGCTCTTTGGGTGCTTATAAGCTTGGAATACCCTTGAATGCTTCTAAGCTTGGAATACCCTTGAATGCTTCTACGCTTGGAATGCTTCTGAGCGCTTCTACTCTTAAAACACCCTTGGGTGCTTTTACATTTGAAACGACCCTAGATGCTTTTGTACATGGAACACCTTGGGTGCTTTTGCTTTTAGAACACCTCTGGACACTTCTATACTTGGAACATCCTTGAGCGTTTCTGTGCTTAAAACACCCCTAAGCACTTGGAACATCCTTGATGCTTCCACGCTTGGAACACCTTTAAGCTCTTCTGCGCTTATAACACCTTAGGCGCTTCCAGCTTAGAATACCTTGGCTTGGAACACCCTAGGGGAGAATGCGCTCTTCTATACTGGAAACACCCAGATGTAAATTTTTTGTAAAACCAGAAATAGACATATACAAATAATTAATTAACAATAGATTTATCTAACTAAGAAAAGATTTTATTTTAAATATTAATTGATCCGTAAGCAAAACTTACGGAAGCATTATATTTTACCCTTTTATCTTTTCATCACTTTATTGGTCTTTCTAGGGATATATTTGTTTTTAATCTTTTCTGCATGCCGTCTAAGAAAAGATAATACATATTTCCATAGTCATTAAAATTGACCTTTTCATCGTTATATGACAACCAGACTTTGTTGTATTTGATGCAAATCGTCAGCATATCGTCATCATCACGTCGATTATATGATCGGAAAAAGAAAATCAATGAAATTTAAGGGGATCATTCTCCGTAGAGAAAAGGCAAAAACATTAGAGTTGGCAAGTACATAACGCCAAAGGAAGTTTCTCAGTTATTTTCCGGGGTCTGTTGACAGAGCCCCGTCCAGTTGGGGTCTCTCAGGACATTTATAAAATGGGGGAGGGTGGTCATATCTCTTTCAATATACGTTTATTATAAGTGAGTGTGACCACACTGTCTCCTGGCACATGCCTACCCTTGCCCTACAGACATGAAATTAAAGCTTTAGGGTATGTTGTTTGCTTTTCCTTTTTAAGATAGTTTGTCCCATGATTTTGGGCAGTTAAGCTTCATCTACAATGGTTATTAAATCAATATTAGTTTTAGCCGCTTTTAAACCCAAAGCTCTGGCCTCCTCTCCATGGTGACAAAGGATATAAAGTAAAAGCTTCATGTCTGAAAATTATTTTGGCATCAAACCAATTCTTTGACATTAGTTCCTAGCATTTCCGGGGAGACATGTAGGGAAAAAGTAGTTTGTTGGCATTATTGGGGACTAGTGAGTAGTTACTTTCTCAGGAATGATAGTAATTTGCTTGCCCATTCTCAACTTATTGCAATAAATTGAGTGAACTGATACAAGTAATGCATTATTGGTGTTACTTTTTTCTGTTGCTCTTGGATTTTCTAGATTGGAATATTCCTTCTTTAACATCTTTTCCACCTAATTCTTAAATCTTTTCCCAACGCGATGCAGCTGTCCACAAGGCAAAATCAATTGCTGCAGATGCTGGTAGTCAGGGTAATGCTTCATCTCGTGAGAAGCAAAATCCTTGTTGATTCCCACACTGCAGTACATTAAAAACAAGAGGCGAGCAGATCTCTCAAAAAAAACAAGACTCAACATGCTTATTATTTTCGATGAAATGATCACCAAGGGAGACAAGATTTCCAACATATCGCAGTTACTGTATACATGTTGCCCAACTTGAAGAAAACTGCATGTCCAATCCCTGCTCTGCTTACTGCGTTGGAAAGATTGACTATAAATTAAAAATCATTGATTTTAGTTGATGTTTTAGCTCTAGCAACAGCAATCTACTTTAACGAAGTAGTTGCTTCAAGTTCTCTTTCGAGGGAGAAAGCCATTAAGCTTAGAGATGTAAACGAGTAGAGTACTTGAAGTATTCAATCCAAATTCGTTTAATTATCAAGATTTCAAACCTTATTAAAATCAATATAAAATAATGAACAACTATTTGTTCATTATCCGAATCCAGATCTATTTAAGTTGACAAATTTGATAAAGACTTGAAGTGTTTCACATCTTTCTATGAGTTCAATTTTATTAAGTTTGCACTATAGTTCAAGTATTATAGATTATGAAAAGGTAAGTTGATTGAAACAGTAAAGATTGTGTTAAGGTAAGTCAAATTTTACGAAATTTAAAATCAAGTTTAAGAAATATTATCGTAATCTATCTTATAATCGAATATAGAGTTTTCAAATTTTATATTATCAAATTGAGTATCTACAGATACCTATATAATCATAACTCATTTACGTCTTTAATTTAAGAAATGACTAATTGGTATAACCTGCTATTTGAACAGAAAAGGGGGAGACATTTTCCACCCCTCATGCATGAGAGTCCCATCTAATAGCAGGAATAATTGGTGGGATGGGAATCTATTTTCAAACTTAAAGAAAATCTGAACAAATCCCAGCGGTCGAGATGGATTGTATTTTCTAAACATTACAAGCTATGGGGATAGTCTTTTGGTCCTTGCTTAAAGAAGGATCTATGGTAAACAACTAAGCATGAGAATAAACAAACAATAGCAATAATATTCCAAATGTGAAGTAGATCTGCTTAAGCAAGCATTCTTTGCACTTCATTATTCCCTTTTTTTGCTGTAGAAAGGATATAGACTAAAGCAACATAGCTGCAACGAATAAATGATCTCAGAGTAACTTGCCTTCGTCAGAGTTGAATAAGAACTAACAAGAATGGGTTCTTTCCACGAAATCAACTGCGCTGGAGCTTCTTAATAGTTAATAGTGTTCAGCTTAAGTTCCATCTTATTTTCTTTCATCCTATTTTGCACCTGTCTCTGCAACTGAAGGCTGCCTGGCGTTGCTGAATTGCACAGTATCTTTTCTGTGTGATAAATGTACACTACTTTTAAGTGACGAAAGTTTCCTTTCTTTTACTTGAGTAACCGGGAATCTGAAATCAAGCTTAAGGACCAGTATATAAGATCAGAACACAGAGAAGATAAGGCATTGATTGCCCATGTTCGATGCATGTTGAACATTAACACATAAACATTCAATGGAAAAGAATTTCCTGTGCAGAAATGAACAGCTTAAAAACATCAAATGACTTGCATCAACAACAATAAGAGGAAAATCAAGGGGCTGCCAACTCTCCTTGGCAAACTTCAATCTTTCCAACACAATTTTGCCTTCCTTGTACTTCTATAATTCCTCATAAGCTTTTATGTACCTCCAACCCAACAACTCTCCACAATCAGAGCAGTAGACATCTGTCAGAGTATGGACACCGGTGATAAGCTGCCGATCCTCCTCTGGACCATCAACAACGTTTTGAACATGGGTAAACAGGAATGCCCTGCCATGGCTTGCCTACCCCAAATCAAACAGGTTCATAACTTTTGGAATTCAGAATCGAACAAAGCAAGTTTTAGATGAACACTGATCATCATTGCAGAGATTATCAAATTCAATTTTACATAAAAGAAAGGCCACAAATATCAAAGAAATAATCAAAAATTAAATTCACCTGAAAGATTTTAGAAATAATATCATCGTGACGGCATACCATGTTTCCACACTTGTAACAATTGCATAGCCTTGGCCCTATCATCCAGTCCGCCATTGAAGAATATGCAGCTCACTTTGCTACTCTGCGATACTAATTGCTAAAAGATTAATGTTCAATCATTTGCACGAAAAAGAAATATTATAGTCTTTAGAAGATTTCTATGGCATGAATTATTATAATAAGCAAAATATTAAGAGTTTCCAAATAAGGTATTAGAAATGGAGTAAACAAAAGGTATTGATAAAGACTAGATTGGCAGGTGAGCCTTTTTTACAATTAGTTCTAGACTTCTTATTAGAAGAGAAGCACTATAAAGGGTAACCTAACATTTAGATTTTTATTTTTTGGTGTAAAGGAAAAAGGATTTTTTTTTCCCCATAATTATCTAAAAAAGTAGGTCTTGGTAATGGCTATTGCTTGTCGACTAAGTTACTTGATCACAATTATTACCCAAAAAATATAGATATCAAGGAAAATAAAAAAATAAATTATTTTAAACTTACCTTATGCTTTTTTAAGAAAGACATAATATAAGGATTTTAATGTTTTATGCTTTATACTTTAGAAGTTTGCACAGTAACTTGTGACGTAAGTCGCAATGCATAATATAATTTATCTATTTAAATACTTATAAATATATAAAAATTAATATACATTATTAGCAAATCAAATGTTATACCCTTATTAATAAATAAATTCTAAGTTTTGAATTTGAAAAATAGATACTTATAATTTTAAAAATATTTATGTTGAAAATTTTTTGAAATTTTATTTTGACTAAATACTCAAATAAATCTCGAACTATATCAAGAAAGTTAATTTAACTTATATCTTTTTATTACATTTAAATAAATTTTTAAATTTTTATTTTGAATCAAATAAGTCTTTCTTACTGTTGACTAACTTCTATTAATTAATAATATAGTCAATAATTTTTAATGTCACATTATTTATCATGTGACATGTTAATGTGTTATCTTGATAATGTCAATATCATATGACAGATGACGTGATATCAAAAATTATTGACTCTAAATTAAATTTTTTCTCTTTCCAAATATCAAAAAATTATTGATCAGGCATTTGAAACAACAAATTAGAAAAATAATTGTTTCAAATTAATTAGCATCATTTTTTAATTGATTACTATCTTCTTAATTGAAACTATTTTTCCTAACAAAAAAAACCAAATTCAACTTTTCCAATTTGATTGAAACTATTGTTACTTGATTGAAAAGTTGATGTAGAGAAATTCTGAGAATATTCGAAAATGATTTTGAGAAGAAAAAGAGTAAAAATATAACACATAACATTTACAATACTAAAACATGTAATGTTGTTTTAAAAAGTCAAATCATTCTTTAAAATTTGTAAAGGAAATTTGATATTCTTCTTTTCCCTAAAATTTATAAAAAAAGGTCAAATCTTTTTCTTTTGTTCACTAAAATCTCTAAGAAAATATGATGCTCTTCTCTTTATTTAAATTTGTTAAGAAAATATGATTGTGTTAAATTTTATTTACAACAATAATAAATTCTCTCCTCACATCTTTAATAGGTTTTTAAAATTCAAGACTACCCAAAAACGATTTTTAAAAGAGAATAGAAATTTACCTACAGGATAAAATATTCTGATTATAAAGTACGTTGAATTTAAAAAATGTTAAAAAAATAAAAATTACATTGGGTTTAAGAAATGTTAAAAAAAATAAAAATATATATTTTCTGAGAAAGATGACTTCAATTAAGAAAATGGTAATCCAATTAGTTTTTTTTTTAATTTTTTTTTTCAAATCTCTAATCAATAAATTTTAGACATTCAGATAAATAAAAAAAAACTTAATTTCTAATCAATAATTTTTTAAATCAAGTTACTTACTATGTGATATTGACATCATCAAAATGATACGTTAACATGTTATGTAAAAGATTACATGGTATTTATTAACTTTCATCAATCAATGGTTAATATAAAGAGTTTATTTGATATAAAATAAAAATTTTAAAATTTATTTGAAAGTAATAAAAGAATAAAGGTAAAGTTGATTTTTTTTATATAATTTGAAGGCTTATTTACGTATTTAGCTTTTTTTTATATATATAGAGGATTAGCATACATTATTACAATTAATCCGAGATTTTAACGACAAATTAAAAAACAACTTCAAGTCTTAAACAAACTTTAGACCAGCCCAAAAACAGAGAGGTTAAACCACAAATAATAAGAAAAATTTGGAACACTCTCTATAGATTGAGCAACTCACTCAACTTAAACTGAAGAAACTCGAATTAGGGATTTCAAAGAACGCGATCGGTAAGTAAAAAAGGATGGAGTTTTGTCCAACTTGTGGAAACATGTTACAGTTCGAATTGCCACACATGGGTCGGCCTTCGAGGTTCGTTTGCCCGACTTGTCCTTACGTTTGTCAACTCGAAAACAAGGTATTTTAGTACGTAATGTCAAAGTTTGTTTTTTGTGTTTTTTTTAGAAGTTTGTTTTTTGAGTGATTTTTGTGATGTGGGTTTTTAACAGGTTAAAATAAAGAGAAGGCAGCATCTTGTTAAGAAAGAAATAGAACCCGTTTTCAACAGTGATGATATGAAAATCGGCGGCGCTGAGACTGATGGTAAGTTAATTTTCGCACTGAAATTGGGTTTTTTTTTTCTTTCTTATGATTTACTGAATGGTAGTGAAGCTATTGTTATTTGATTTGTTGATGTCAATCGAAAACCATGATTTTATCAGATTAATTTGCCTTTTGTTTTTCTGGTGTTGTTCATGCTTGTTGTCTATGACCTTTGTGTGTTTATAAATTGGAATTTTTGGTGTTTATTGCATTTGTGGGAGAGATGTTCAACCAAAAGTTATGGGCAAAATTTTATATTCTTGTGTGATTATATGGAATGCACATGCAATTGTTGAATATATAATAGTACTCTTGATGTAATATAATTATCTATGGAAGACTTAGTTGTAGTCATGATTATTACAGTAAGAGGTCTGTACTATTATCTAGAGCTAGATGTGTAGTTAACGAAGGTAGCTGGTGGTGGTCATTGAACTGCCATTTGTTTTTCAAGTTTATGCTTCAAAGATGCTAAAGAAATAATTAGTACTCGCGAAGATGCTATATGATGGTTGGAAAAAGTAGAAAGCCAAAATTCTGTAAAATATGTTTAGTTATGCGGCAGGAGAAATGGCCTAAAAGTTAAAAAATCATCTGTTTCAAGAAAAAAGCCATTCAGTGAAACTTGGTTGGGATAGTTAATTAGATTGCAGGTTAAGGTTTTAAAAGAAAGTGTGATTTTTTATAGTCGAGGAATGAGGGAACTGATTTTGTACAATTGACTTCACGAAGTTCTTTTAACTTTTTTCTATTGTCTAAACTATCATGTAATGATCTCTTGTTGTTGGAGCAGAAGGTTTGTGTAAACTATCATGTAATGATCTCTTGTTGTTGGAGCAGAAGGTTTGTGTAAACTATCATGTAATGATCTCTTGTTGTTGGAGCAGAAGGTTTGTAAAATTGGTCAGTTGAGTTAAGTTGAACTAAGCCACATTCATCTTCTAGGCATTTGGAAACTTAATTGTGAATTCTGTACTTCTTTAATTAAGTTAGTGTCTTAATTTTTAAATTTCTATGATAAAACATTATTAAGTAATTCGTTCTGTAGTTGTTCCTCCTACTGGTTCTTGATTGCTAAATGATGAAGTCAATTTCGGTGGCAGATAAGACTTGACACTTTGCATACAGATCTCTCTTATTGTCATTGTTTTATTTTCTTGTCCTCTTTTAAACCTTCTGTTTGTTTTTGGCAGCAACATGCCCTGCTCCTAATTGCGGCTTTGGGAGGGCCTATTTCTCGCAGATACAGATCCGGTCAGCTGATGAGCCAGCAACAACATTCTATCAGTGCTTGCGCTGTGAAAAGAGATGGCGTGAAGATTAAGTTCATGTTATATTAGATGAAATTATTAGGGTAATGTAAGGATAGACACTATGATAGGCTTCAAATTTTGGGTTATTTTTCAGCCGTAGTTTGTTTTTGAGAACCTGAGAATTGCATTGGCAAAATTCTTAATTATCACTTTTTCAATATAATTAGATTGGATTCTTGATTCTGGGTTTAATTTGTCAGTTGGCATTTTGCCCCTGCAATTGCCAAGGAAGATATGGCATCGATGCCTGCCAAACCTGAAATTTCCATCTTCTTCCTGAGTCTGTGAATCTTTAAAAAAGTCAATCCAATCCAAAACATGAAGCTTGAAATTTAGCAAGCGTATGCTATTATTGATAGCTTACTGGCTTTCTGGTGCTGATAACCAAGCAAACAATAGGCATGATAACTAAGAGGTAAGGCGGCGCTGTCAGCTGTTGTGCAAAATTATATACATTACAATTCCCATTCCCAACAAAGACCAGAAAGTGAGGTTCTGAGCATAAAATTAGATCAAGAAGGATCACGACTACCCAAAAAAAAAGCCAAGTCCAATGCAAGAGGGTTAAATTGATGTCATCGCAATTTTTAAGAGGGAAAAAGTGACAAAACAAACAACAACGTAACATAACAATAAGAAGAAAATGATTCATGTTCTTAATCACTGATCAGCCAACTTTTTCTTTGCCACCCATCTCTTTTTAGTAGCCTCTAACGCCTCCTCCCTCATCCTTGAAAGCTCTTGAAACCAATTTTGATACTGTGCCTCAATTGCATCAAGCTCCTGCTTTAATTCAACATCCAGATCTTTGTCCACTGTTATCAGGGATGAGCAGCTACTTGACATGCACATAACATTTGATTCTCTGCTTAAATTGGGGAAGGAGAACCCTGAAGTCTTCACAAATCCATTTAATGGTATGCACTCTTCAGCACTGCTATCATTTCTTCTTGAGTTGCATTCATCATAATAAGGATCCTGAAGGTCTTGTTCAGAGATATATCCTCCTAAATCTTTAGACATTCCATTTATATTCGAATCAGCAGCCTCAGACGATCTAGCATTCTTTGTGGAAGTCTCCTCAACCATTATCTCTGAAACAACCGATGCATGTGACTCTTGGTCTTCCAAAGAAGAATGATAGTCGTTATGGAAACCATCTTGGGCTTGAATGACACCTCCTTGAAGGCTTGTATTTAGACCAGAGACAATGTCTTTTGCAAACATCACTGCAGGATCAGTAGTTCGCACTGAATCCCATGGGCATGCCATTGAGGTTTTGCAGTTTCCGGAAACTGAAAACTCACCGCAGGGACTTGCAGTTCCAGTCGAGGGATAATCAAAGGAGGGCTTCCAACCAGGTAGAAGTTTCATTATCAAGTGATCAATAAACTCAGCTATGAAGGCAACATCATGATCTGTTAACTCTAGCTGTTCAACCATCTCAGCTGCAACTGAGAGTGCGGTATCAGTATCAAGGTAAAAGACAAAATGTATGTTTCTTACTCGACCTGCAAGTATAGCAGTTAACTTCTGTGTTATTATACCATGATCAGGGAGCAACTAAATGTTTTAAGGTACTACAAGCGCTTACCACAAGAATCAGCAATACGTAAGGTCAATGAAACTGAGTTATCATCGTCCTTTTTCCCTCTCAACCTGAATTCATTGTTCTTGTGCATTCTCTGGAACTCCAAAACCGGAAACTGAAGACTCTCACTATTGCTTCCAGTGCACATGCTTACAGAAAGCTGCTTATAGTCAGTATCTATGTCCATGGACAAAGGTCCTGATGCAGGTAAATTTGCAGGTACATTTATTGCTTTCAAACTTGGGTTGGGTAGTTGCAGGGGATCTCGGATTGGTTCCTTTGGGTTCTCTACTTTAAGAAATGGATCATCCAAAAGCTCCTTTGCAGACAATCTCTCAGATGCTGGAACCAAACATTTCTCGATGAATTCCTTTGTTTGTGGATCGACCACCTTACTCAGGGAAGCAGGTTTAATACCCTGAATCAAATTCACCAAAATATAAAAAAAGGTCACAAAAAGCAAGTCCAAAATGAAAAAAGCCCTGTTCATAATGCGAATAAGCAGTTGAGAGAAGTACTTACGGAGATAACTTTCTTATAGATCTGTGCTGGATTTTTGCATTCGTTATATGGATACTCAAAAGTAACCATCTCTAGCATACACATTCCAAAGGAGTATATATCTATCAGTTCATTATATTCCTCTTCATAGAGCTCCGGAGCCATAAATTCAGGGGTACCTGATGAAAAAGAAAAACAAATTAAAGATACTTATTAACTTGGCTAAATCTGATGCAGCATTTTGACAATAACAATTCTTTTACCAATAACACTCCGAGCAGTTGACTGCTGCAGGACAATTGCCAAGCCAAGGTCACCAATTCTAATTTCTCCATTATTCCCATTAATAAAGATATTGTCACACTTTAAATCCCTATGAATAATAGGCGGGACATGACCGTGAAGATAAACTAGGCCTCGAAGAATCTGCCTTGCCCAGTTCTTTATGGCCTTCATATCCACGTTTTTATGCTTCTTTCGATATCTGATAATGAAATGATACAAATTACTTCATACAGAACAGCATTGATTAAAAAGAACAAAGTTAAACAATCAACAGGTGCCTACATCCTGAGACTCCCAGATGTGAATAGCTCAGTTATCATGTTAACAGTTTTCTTCTTGTCATCCACCCATGAATCGTATAACTTGATGATATTTTCATTTTTCAATGATCTCAAGAGATGAACTTCAGAATACAATTTTTCCAAATCTTCTGGCGACCGCAGGACATCATCGATCCTTACTTGGTTCCAAGCAACTTCTATTCCATCAACTTCATCAAATGCCCTATAACTGCAACATTGTAAACAAATCATTAAAGACTGTATCCAAGTTGTTGCTAAGACCAGAGAAGATAAAAACCATACACTGTCTTGAATGCACCCTTGCCCAAGACTTCATCAAACTGTTACATAGAAAAATAAAAAACCATTAACATTTTTTTTAATATTCCATTATATTTTTGAGGGAAAAAAGAGGCCTAGCTCAATTATTAGAAGCCCAAATCTTTGTCCTAAATGTCAAAGATGTTACATCAGAATGTAACTTTATTTTATCTCAACTATTGCATTTGTGAATACAGTAATATTGAAATAAGTAAAAATAGATCCATACCCGAACGTAGCGACCCGTAGGATCTCTTTCTACGAAATCGGGCTCTGCTTCTGAAGTATCAACCATTCCATCATTCGATGGCAATACCAATCCTGACCCAGAATTCATTTCTGCTAAGAACCAAACAGCTACCAAAAAGACAAGGAAAAATTTGTATATGTTCTTCGTTTTTCAAATTTTAAAAATGTTTTTCTTTTCTAGGGGCGTGCAGAGGGAGGGGGACAAAGAGAGTGGACTAAGCGATCAAAGAGATGAAAGCGATGGCCGTTAAAGGACCAGGTTGTGAAAGAAACGACGACGTTGTTGTTGATGGTGCTCAGAGAAGGCTTCGGAGGCAATGGAGAAAGAATCGAATGCCCACCGCGAACGGAATCGGCATTCGAGTACGGCGACGACAACAGCGTCGTTTGGAGGCAATGAACTGCGTTTACAATTCATAACCCCAAGTGCCTTGTCTCGCAACCCCCTCATTTCTTTACACCAAACCCAGCTTCTCCAATACCATTTTATTTCTCAAACCAAATTCTCTTTCAAAAAAAAAAAACAAAACCAAAAGAAAAATAATAATAATAATAATAATAGATAGGGAGGCTGCGATTTGGGGTTTTTTCTTTTTTTCGAACGGATGTGAAAGAAAAAAAAAAGAACAGAAAAGAAGAGGGGATTATGGTGATAACAGGGAAAAAAAAAAGAAAGAGGTTGAGAGACAGCTGTTGGAGTGGATGATATTACGGGAATGCGAAAGAGAAGCTTTGAACAAACACTTGTACGGGTTGAATTTCAAAGGAGAGCTTGTAACTAACGTTAACACTTATTTTCTGTTGGTACAACTCATAGTACGATTTTGATTTTTCAATCACCTTCTGGCCTTGCGACTTGCTTTTGATCAAGCGGTTGAAAGTTGACCTTTTGCCGCGCCGCCTGTTCTACTTTTCTTGTTTTTTTTTTTTTTTCGTGGGTAATTGTGACCAACGGCCTTCATTTTGTCTTGTGATTAAACCGCACCGTTTTAAGCTGTCTATTTTAAACGCTCGTGGGTCGTGGGTTTATATAGCTGCAAGATCCTGTTTTGGAATCCGTTTCTATCCAAAATCCCTTTCTTTAAAAAAAAAAAGAAATTTACTTTGTTAATTGGTCAAAGTAACATGAGAAGTCTCTATCTTTAAGCGCTTTTTTCAATTTAATTCATTTACTTAATATTGTAATATTTTAATTTATTAATTTCAAAATTTATTTTAATTTAATTTATAATATTTTTATTTAAATAGATCATTATAATGTTGATATTAATATGATACCAGATGTTGAAATGAAATATAAAGTAGGTTAAGCTATTGACAATATCACGTTACATTTCAAGTTTGGGTTGCTAATGTGACAGTACTTCAAGTTTGAGCTTTTTTTTTTTTTTTAAGTTTAGACTTGAATTACTAACATGACAATATGTCAATGATCGTAGTTTGTTGGCCGTGGGTATATATAGCTGTAAAATCTTATTTATAGAATTCATTTTTGATTCAAAATCCCTTTTTTGAAAAAAAATTCACTTTGTTAATTAGCTTCTAAATTCAATTAAATTCAAGGATAAGGTCCATGACAGTGATAACAAATTTATTATTATTATTGTTATTATCATTATTATTATCATTAAACTTGAGTTGATCCTTTTCTTATAAAATTACATAAATATATTATAGTCGATTTAAATCATATATTAGTAATCATCTCTTATTAGACACAAGGACTTAATTAATTTATTTTTTAAAAGATGCATGAAGATCATTTAAAACTTCATCCTTTTCTTCTTTATTCTCGACAATAAATTTAAGGTCTGTTTGATAACTAAAAAATGACTTGTTAGAAAAAAATTTTTTGTGTAAAATGTTTTATTGGAAATTTTGATATTTTCTATTGTTTAGATAAACTATTGAAAATATTTTCTATTGTTTGGATCATTTTATGAAAAATAT